GGGGGCCTTTGACAAGCCGCCGGCTTCCTGCCCTTGTTCGAGGCCACTATAGTGTTAATTAGTGACCCTCAGATAAATTTATTTAATAATATATATTATTTCGTCCATTTATTAATAGGGGATTTCAGAGTATACAGTCAAAAGCTAGCAATAAATTTACCTAATATCCCTATCTCAGAAATTAACTAGTAGTATATGCAGGCCAATTGCCAGACTATTTTGTACACTAGCAAAGTCCAACTAATTGATACCAATTAGATAATTGATTTATCTGATGAAATGTACTATTTTATCTTCCGTGAGAGAGAAGTGGGAAAAAGGAAGCGATGAAGGTGGAGAAGGGAGTGATGCGCCATGACCCCGATGACTGGCGCCACAACAACTCCACCCTCAGACAGGCCAGTCGTGACACCCGCACCACCTCCCTCATGAGTCGCACCATCTTCGTCACCAGGTAAGTTGTCTTAGCAAGGCATTTTGGACCCCAGGAGTTAGCTGAGGCACCCGACTTATATCTATATAACATCAACACACTGTTGTGTACCAAGCTTAATAATAATAATAATTTAGTTCGTCTTATGTATTTTATTTTGGATAAAATAATATTATATTTATTATTACTATTATAAAGCGTGCCTTGTAAATTAAGGATCTTCCAATTTCCTGATTAATTTTTCTTGTGGGTATATATCAATATGAAACATATTTCTAGCATATTATTTTGTTTAAAAAATTGTTGTCTGTTCTGCATTGCGGCAAAATTCGCTGAATATATAATTGTTTCACATCTGAGAATGCCTTGTTTAAAGAGTAGTCAGATATATTGCCTGGCTCGCCTTTCTTGGTGCGCGAGTTGCCTAGTTTTGCAATGAAACTGATGGTCATGTGCCTAACTTTATTTATAATATATCTTTGTAGATGTGATTTATATGGGGAGTTGCGTGGTGACCACCGGCCAGGTCGGACGTTCCTGAGGTCTCTCCGCTCCTGGCTCGTGTTTACGTTGGGTGATTGCTGGTTTGCCCTGCTGGTGGTGGTTTGCCACTTACAGGGTGTCGTTTGACTTAGTCATGGGGACTTCTCGCCCTCCAGTGAAGAGGACATTGTCGGCTGGTCTGGCATTTACGGTGCCGGTGGACCATTCGTTGGTTGGTGTCGCCCTGGTGGACGTGCTGCATGTGCAGCTGTCGGACCTGGTGGGCATCCAGCTGCTTCAGGGCAACCGTGCTGTGGTCAAGTTCCGCCTCCAGGCTGCCTTTCAGGCGTTTCTCGAGCGTTGTGAGGGGCGTGTTTACCCTCTCCCAGATCCTGCTGGTTCTGTTAAGGTGGTGTATCTTAGTGTCACCTTGACGTCTGTGGCAGTGCATGGTGCCCCCTTCGAATTTCAGGACGACTTTTTAACCTCCTGTTTTGAACGATTTGGGACGGTGTTAAGTATTCGTTGGAACAAGGTCCTTGCCGGGCACTGTGTTGGTATGCTTGACGGCTCCCGCACCCTGACGATGTCCCTGAAGTGTAGTGTACCGTCGTCGATGTCCGTGTTGGGTTACACGCTCCGCTGCCAGTACCGGGGTCAACCGCGCACCTGTTATCGGTGTGGTCACGAGGGTCATCTGGCTGCAGCGTGCGACGTGGGAGCAACTGGTCGGGTGCATGTTTTTCGTGCGGAGGATTTTCCGCCCCTGTTGCGTTCGGACGGTTCTGAGGACGGAGTGGGTGCTGTGCTTGTGGCGCCTGATTGCCTGTCTGCTGCTTCCCCTGTTGAGGCGAGTTCTACAGCCTGTGCGACACGTCAGGTGACTGCTGTGGCCCCTGGGGTTGTTGAACCGGTGTGTGGGGGTGTCGGGCCGTCGCCTGAGCTGCGTGTAGTGCAAGATGTCCCGGTGGAGGTTCATGTCCCGCCCCCGCCTGTGGATGTGATATCGTCTCCCGGGGACGCGGGTTCTGCTGTATTGGAGGGGGAGCTTCGGCAGGGAGAGGTGCCTGCCGTGCCTGTGTGTGTTGACGACTGTAGTTCTGCTCTTTCCGTCCCTTTGCAGAAGCGTGCGCGTCGGTGTTCTGAGGCTGTTTCCCTGGATGATGTGGACAGTGTGGGTGATGTGGACTCTTCGGACGTTGCTGGTGTGCCCTGTGTGGGTGTAAAGATGGTGGCTGTGCCTGCAGTAAGGTCTGCTGGGTGTGGTGTGGTGCGGCCTGTCTCGAAACGTTCTCGGCGGGCTCGGAGTGTCTCCCCTTCGTGGTGTCCCTTGGGAGGAGGTAGGGGAGTATGGTGCTTTGACGCCCCCCCACCCCCACCGTGGATGATGGTGCTGTGAGGGGCTCCGAAGTTGCTACCTGTGCACCCCTCCTGCGTCGCCTGCTGTTGGATCTTCGCAGTGGGGGGTTGCCCCTGATGATCGGGACCTCGTCGTGGTGCTGCGGAATGATGTGCGCCGGGGGGCCTCGGCTCCTGTGCCCTGTGGTGGGGTCGATGCCGCGCCTGCATCCCCTGCGGTTCCCCCTCCTTCATTATTATTATTATTAACATCTTTATTGACAAAATTAATTACAATTTTGCCTAATCTGAAGATTTTGATAGTCATATTAAATTGAGGTTAATGCTAGTATTCACTGTCACGCAGGACAGAGGGTCATACATAAGACAATAGGTCTAAACTGTAGGCTGAAGCACATATATATCACGGTTACAATCAATGTTTTAATGTGTGGATATGTGAAAACAACTTTCTATTGTGCACTGCCACACAAGGGCAGGGATGGGTTCATAAGTGATGCAGCTTAGAGTATAAATAGAAATTGTTCTTCATTCTTTAAAATGGACAAGCCCCTCCTTCATTGCCCCGGTCTGGGGGAAGCCTCGTCCCGTCTGCTGGGGTCGTGCCCTGTGGGGTTCCGGTGTTGGGCCCTTATCGGGATGCTCGGGTGCTTCCGATCCCATGGTGCTCGTCCACTGTCTGGGTGTCGCGGGTGAAGGAGTTTGTTTATAGAGTGCCGGATAAGATGTCTCAGCCGAGGGCACCGCTTGGTGGCCGGCTGCCCGATGACTTGTGGGTGATTTGGGAAGTGTAATGCTTGCGCTTTCCGATATACAAGTTCCCAGAGAAATATTAGTTAACGTCTTGCGCGCACCGCTACGCCGTGCGTGGTTCAGCTGCCGCCGTGCACTCGACACCCCGCCCTACGGTGCAGGGAGTCTCCCTCTAACGTCCTCCTCTGTTTCCGTCGCCACTCCTCTCTCTACGGCCCGACACATCCAACACTTTTGACTTTCTTCTCCTCCTTACCGCCTACGAGTTTCCCTACATTTGTCCTGGTGCAGTCATCGGGAGGGTAAACCCTTCATGCAAACTGCACCTATTCTCAAGAAGAAGAGTAAATAGTTCTGTGATTTGGGTGTTTATGGTAGGTTGTTCTATTCTTATGTGAATTGCTTAAAGAATTTGTAATCTTCTTGCATCTTGGGTTTTGTCTATTATGCAGGTATTTTTGTTCAACATTTCTCTTGTTAGGGTGATGTCATGGGCTTGTCTCATGTGATTCCTGGGGGCACCGGATTGAAGATAAGTCAAACGCCTCGTCAGCTTGGTCGACGTCATACCTATGTACTTAGATTGAAGGTTACACCCTTCGTGGGGGCAAGTGTTCATGTATACAACGCTTGACTGCTGTAGAGGGTTCTACGTCGGCTTCCGGCTGTATTTGATAAGGAGTTCGGAAGTCTTCTTGGTTTTGTAGAATATGATCAGGTCTATGTTTTGGTTAGGAGTAATGCTTTTTACTCCTTTACGGATTTTTTCTTTCATTATTCTTTCCTCTTTTTTTATATTCACTGTGCATGGTTGATTTGTGATATAATTTTATTGGAGGTATTATTGTGGTTTCTGTTCTAGGTTCAGGATTATACCATCGGTCCAGGTGTCTTCTAATAGCAGCGTTTATTTCCGTGTTGCTATATCCGTTGTTCACCAATACCCGAGTTACTCTTTCAAACTCTCTACTCACGTTGCTCCATTCGGAACAGTGGGTAAGCGCTCGACGAATATAAGCATTGAGAACACTGGTTTTGTATCTTTGGGGGCACTCACTTCTACTGTTCAGGCATAATCCTATGTTGGTAGGCTTAGTATATACGTTGGTGCTTAAAGAGGTTCCTGTTTTTGTTATTAGTACATCCAAGAATGGCAGACTGTTATTTTCACTATTTTCATGTGTAAATCGGAGTACTGACTCTCTCTCTAGATGGCTTTTTAGATCAATTAGTTTGTCTGAGTCTTTTACTATGAGGAATATGTCATCTACATAACGGCAATATACGGTTGGTTTTTGTCTGCTACTGAAGACTCTTGTCTTCGATGGTTCCCATATAAAAATTAGCAAATAAAACTCCTAAGCAAAAATAAGCAATAGGCTCCCGCTTTGGAGTTTAAATTGGGAGCAATGGGCTTCCCCTTAGGAGAAAAAAAATCAAAGCCAGGGTCCAGTTACACAACTGGCTGGGCTCTTGTTACACAACTGGTCGGGCTCCGGTTACATAACTGGTCGGGTTCCGGGGGTGTTACTTGGGCTTCGGTTTGTGCATAGTCGGGCTTCGGTACGTGCATGGTTGTGCTTTAGATGTTGTTTTTACGGTTCGTTCATGTTAGGCTTGCGGTTACAAAACTCGTTGGGTTCCAGTTACACAACTGGTCGGGGTTTGGTTACACAACTGGTCGGTTACATAACTGTTTATATATATATATATATATATATATATATATATATATATATATATATATATATATATATATATATATATATATATATGTCTGTGTATATGTGCAGAAATAATATTAATAAAACAATTAACATCGTGTAGTGTACTCTATATATCAAAATATATTACTTTGAAATCCATATCATTCACTAAAAAAAATTGGGCAACTCTTATTACAAATTCGCTACTTGTAGCCCGTCAGCTCGCTACTTTCAGCAATTTAGATCTGGCAACCGTGGCCGGAGCCTCAGTCACCCGGCAGCTGACACTGAGGGTGGTTGTGCGCTCCTGTCCTCTACAACCCTCTAGCCTCTCTTGCTTTTAGATTTCACCTCCCTGCAATTTCTACTGCCTTGATTCCGTTCACTTAGGAATCAGATTCCATCCTAAAAGCCGTCCAGAATAAAAGGTAAGAGTAATATACGGTATTTCATTTGTTGAACGGTAGTTATTCAATCACTGTTTAGTGAATGGTGGGAATGAATAATTCCTTCATCAATTCTATGACATCAACTCTTAAGTTACCATGTATGGGAGTACAGTTCAAGGAAATTGAAAATATGCTGTTTTAAACTTTACAAAATTATTCACACTGTGCAGGATATATATATGCTTTATCCATACTCAATATTGTCGGATTTTAAGCTACGATTCCCGGCCGAGGCGGAAACAAATGGGCAGACTTTCTTTCACCCTGCTGCCCCTGTTCACCTTGCATTAAATAGGTATCTGGGAGTTAGCTGCTCCGGGATGCTTCCTAAGGATATGTGTGCGCGCGCGTTAAGAGATAAATATATGTAGTTGACAAAATAGAGTAAAAAGATTGGTTAGAAAGGCGGGGCCCAAGAGCTAATAGATCCATTCTGCAGGCACAAATGGTAAATACACTGAACCCAGGCAAAGGTTGCAACGTTCTTTATGAAAGGAATACATTATGAAGTCATTATTGTTATAATAAGGTCATTATTGTTATAAATAAGGTCATTATTGTAATTAATAAAGCCACTATTTATAAATAAAGCCCATATATTAGTTTACTGAAGTAGGGACATCTAATTTTCCACGCCAGCAGCATAGCTACACTTTGTTTCCTCTAACCATATGTCTGGAGTATCCAGCTGTAGGCTTGATTGGGTACCCGATGTTCATGTTCTTTCCAAGACCATATAATCGTCTGATTATTGATATTATCAACGTCATTAATATTTGAGAAAGGAATAATACAAGTAGGCTATATGGCGATGAAAACGGTTGCTGGCAATGCAGTTTTTTTTTGTTTTTTGTCGTATATAAACACGTTAGATATCACGGTGTAGTGGTTTACAAAAAATGTACATATTATAGGTCTCGTCTTGAAGATGAGGCCCTCTATCTACAGCTCAGGAACTCAAGGCAGAAGAGTCCTAAGGTTTCTGGGATTCGAAGTGATAAATGTAACGGTTTCCTGTGAAAACGGGACAGTCAAAGCACGTTTACAACTTATCCATTGGATATTGGCTTATAATGAAATAATTCCCTCCTTTCTTTTGTATTACAGTATTTATATTGCTTATTGACAATAAGGACATTCAGATAACAAATGTAATGTTGAAAAGAATAAAAGCAGTAACTAGGCTTTTGCATGAGGAAATTTACACCCCTTGTCGCCAGACTTGGTTAACTCAGGCTGCTCTGTACGTGCTGCTATATATCAGTATGCCCGTACATTATACAGCTCCATCTATCTGTTTTCAAAATTCCCTTTGCAACACAAGAACACCAACAGGCATTTGCAAACCAGCAATACTAGCAGGCATATGCATGTCAAGAACACTTAACAGACATACGCAAGCCAGGAACCCAATTATACACACGCCAAACACACAGACATAATTATTATTGAGCTACCCTACGTGAAGCATACATTACCCAACATGATGAGAAAATTCGCAAGCACATAAAACTACTTCCAACTTTGGCTGGAGAAAACGTAAAAAAAATATTTTTGCAACTGGACTGATGTGATGTAACTGAAAACTTTGCAGGTTAGGTTAGCGTTGCAACCCCCGTGACGTTCTCTCCGTCAGGGGAATTGCTTTAATCCCGTCGTTGTCCAACTTGGGGTCTACAAGGACTACTGCGGCGGGTACTGAGTGCAATTCATTTTACTTTGTAGAAAACAGCACACATTATGACTAACGAAGCTATGTATGTATGTTTTGTTAACCCTGTGAGCATTTTTAAAGGAAGAGTAGAAGTGAATACAATATGGCTAAAGCAGCTCAATATATATATAACCCACAGTGAAATGATGTGTCACATGGACCAGTAGGCCCACTGCAGCTTACCCATCAGTGTTACAATGATGGCTAGGGCAGTATGTTGGATGTTATGTCTTGGTCTCGAGGATGGCAGTGTGAGCTTGCTGTTGAAGGGTGAATTTTTCTCTTCTCTCCTCCCCATTTCACCTCCCCCCCCCTTCTCTCACTCTCTCTCTCTCTCTCTCTCTCACACACACACACACACACACACACACACACACACACACACACACACACACACACACACACACACACACACACACGTACGTTTTTACAATAACACTCAAATAATTATTTGGAATGTTTGCTTTCAAAGTATTTAGTCAGATGGGAACCAGTTTCCAGTTAAAATCGTCGTTGGGTGAGTACGTGATCACGCTTCTCTTTTTCTATTTTTAATGTTGCTGACCACGACCTGTGCGTGCCATGTTAGGCACGTACCCCATAGGAATTGGGGTACGAAGTAGGATGAGGCTATTCCCAAGCATCTGTCTTCCAACCTCGAATAGACAGACAAATATTTACATATATAAATATAGATATAAAATGTAAATTGAAATTACTTCGACTAAATAATTAACCTAGAACATTCTAACATAAGGCATTAGACCCGGAAAAACACCTAGCAACATTTCGTCAATAGACGGAATATTTCGTCCACCGGCATGTTATATAAACAGCAAGAAATGGGGGTTAAAAATGTGGAGAGTCAGCCGGCTCAATCCTCGCCAAACCTATTCTATCTTAACCTAGCCTAATAAGCATACATAAGTCTAGAATTAAACGAAACTACATTAGTGTAATTGACCGCGCAGTTGACCGATCGAGTTTCTGTATACATAATGTCATTCACTGTATTCGTTAACACTGAAATATTATATAAGTAGCCACGATATTGTATAAGTAAGTAGCCATGATAAAATACAAGTAGCCACGATGTTGAATTACGGTGAGCGTTTAAGGCCCCTCACTGATACAAGTAACGAATATTTTTGACTTGATAGATATTGTAAATGTAATGCTTGAATAGTTTAAGCAGTCGTTAGGCGTTTTATCTGAACGACTATATTCTGCCTGTGTCTTTCAGATTTAAACTACATGTTTATGACCCGACTGTTCCTACATTTCTTTATTCTACTGCACTTCCTGAGTGACCACGTAAAAAATAAGCCGAGGGAACCAAATTACAAGGCAACCTAGTACCCGCCAAATTGTTATGACACCATGTACTCGCTCCCCTGTTGCCGCTTCCAGGGGTGAGGACCAACCTGGCAGCCTCGCACTCTTATTTGCCATTATTGTTTGCTTATTTCATAATGCGCCCATTTCCACAAGTATAATAGGTTATTTGTTTACCGACATTATTTTTAAGTGGATAATTTGGGTTTACCTGGAAGTGTGTGGTGATTTCGTGGTGATTTTTTTTTTGGAGGGAAGGGGGAGGGGGAGGGGGGGTTAAGACTACTAGTTTCTACCAACCCACAAAATTATTTCTGTAATCGATTTGATTCTTGTTCGAAGCTAAAAATTGTATATACTAGATGAAGCTTTTCTATTATTTTTGCCTTTACGTGGCTGTGTATGACTTCAAAATTTATCGAAATATTTTTTGAGCTTTTCAGTTAAAAAAAGAAGTTAATGTTGAGTTTAATTGATCGAGTGGTAGGATGGTACCAATGATATTAAGCAAGCAAAAATTAAGTACGTTTGCTACATTCAGCTAAAAGTTAGCTGAAGCTGCAGAATTTATAGACAAGAAGGATGAGGTTATCTTGAGATGATTTCGGGGTTTAGCGTCCCCGCGGTCCTCGATCAGGCCTCTTTTTTTTTTTTTTTGTTACACACCCCCAGGAAGTAGCCCGTAGCAGCTGTCTAACTCCCAGGTACCTATTTACTGCTAGGTAACAGGGGAATCAGGGTGAAAGAAACCTTTTTCCCATTTGTTTCCGCCTCCACCAGGGATCGAACCCGGAACCTCAGGACTACGAATCTAAAGCGCAGTCCACTTAGCTAGCTGCCAGGCTGGCAGGTGTGACACAGTCTATGGTTATACATGCTGTAGCTTCAGTAAGTTTGATTCACTTTCCCTCTTGCCTTCGAAGATGCTGACAGCCTCAATGAAACACGTCGCTTAGCCTCAGGCCATATTGTAAACTGTTGAATTTATATATATATATATTTTTCCAAATGAAGAAGAACATGAGAGATATAAAGAAGATTTGTCTACAACAAAGTTTCAGATTTGTAAAAATAAACTTTGGAGATTACATTTTTCAATTTACTTCTCGAAGGAAGAAAAACATTAGAAATATAGAGAAGATTCGTGCTAGAATCTTCTAGAATTGGATAACTGATCAACCAGGCTGTGATTCATAGGTCAGGCTGCGAGCAGCCGCGTCCGACAACCTCATTGACCAGTCCACCAACCAGGAGTGCTGGTCGGGGATCGGGCCTCAGGGACGTTGAGCCCCGAAATCATCGCAAGGTAACCGCAAAGTAGAATCATTGATCTAACCGTTTCTGTCATATTCATTTATATAAATAAATAAGTAGATAAAATAAATTCATAAATAATACTTAAATAAAAGTGGTGCCACCTCTGGTGTAATAATTGTAGGGACCCATAGCTTCGGAGAAGAGAATAAAGAGCATTTCAGAGAGCAGCTTGTCGTTGACTCTAAAATACATATTCAAATTCAAATTTTTTTATGCAGGAAAAGTACATACATAGATGATTTGTAAACATAAAGTTGGATTTATAGATAGAGATATCTATAAATATTTATAGATATTTATAGATATTCTGTTATTATATCCTTTATGATGCAAGGTTACGCAGTTGCACAACTAAATTGTTACAAAAATGTGAATGGAAGGGAACTATCAGGGGAAAGCTCCAAGCCATCACGACTATATAGCACTGGGAAGGGATCAGGATAAGGATTTGGGATGGGACGGGAGAAAAGGAATGGTGCCCAACCATTTGGACGGTCGGGGATTGAACGCCGACCTGCATGAAGCGAGACCCTATAGAATGTAGAGTATTTCCCTATAGAATAAATGTATATAGGGAGATAAAGATTTAGATCTGTAGATTTCTTCCAACTCC